GGTGGAGAAAGTAGTGATAGCTATATCATATTAGTGGAACAGAGTATATAGAAGAAACGCTACTCGGAATGAAGTTCCGAGTTTCGCCTCAGGCATTTTTTCAAGTTAATACATTAGGAGCGGAGATCTTGTACAAAGCGGCGATCGATCTCGTTGAACCTACAATAGATACAGCATTACTTGACGTATGTTGCGGTACTGGAACCATAGGCCTTTGTTTTTCGAAGGTATGATCATTTATGAAATTCTGAAGATGTAAAATGTACATTAACTTAATTAACTTAAGTTCATTATTGCAGTATTGTGGTGAAGTACTGGGAGTGGAAGTTGTTCCCGACGCTATAAAAGATGCGAAGGAAAACGCTATCAAAAATGGTATTACTAATTGTGAATTTTTTGTCGGAAAGGCGGAAGACGTTTTATCGCCTATTATTCAGAGGACAACAAAATCTAATATCACTGCCGTTGTGGACCCACCACGAGCAGGTTTACGTAAGTTATCATTATGTGTGAATGAAATTTACAATACGATATAATACGAAAATATTAACTTACCTGTATGTTGATTTCTTCTAGATCAAAAGGCTTTATTGACACTGCGTAAGGCAAAAAAATTGAGTAGATTGGTGTATATATCGTGCGATCCTCGTGCGGCCATGAGAAATTTAATTGACTTAGCGCGACCTAGTTCCAAGCAGTACCTTGGTGAACCCTTGGTACCGGTAAAGGCCATTGCGATTGACATGTTTCCTCATACCAAGCATTGCGAATTGATATTGTGCCTTGAAAGATTATCGAAGGCGATGAAATCAAATGAATGTACTATTCAAAAAAGTACCGAATAAAAAACATTTAAACGTATTTGCATATTTTTTCATTATATGCATGTGATAATATAAATATTGAAAGTTTTCTAAAAGATGAATATAAAAAATTGCTGGTAAATTTGAGTCTTGCTATATTTAGGGCAAAAAGAACGAAAGAAAGATTTTGCGTTTTTTTTTTTTTTAAAGAAATTCATTAATGATAATGATTTGTCCATTTTCTTGAGTAAGTTGTATAACTGATGTCTGAGTAATTGTTTTATTTAATGTTATAATAATAATGATAAAATTTATATATATAAACGTAGTTTAAATAGAATTTTAAATATCTTCATGTGCGGATTATTTAATATATTTAAATAAATTTCGCTTCAATGACTCGCTTAAATGACTTAATGTAATATTTAAATAGAAGTATCATAAAGAGATAATTATATAATATATTAGACATTAGATGACATGTAGCTCCATATAGGAGCAGTCGATTTGTAGCTGGCTAATCCCGGCTGATTTCAATTCTCATATGTCTTTTGAAACATTAATGACCTTTTTTCATGTCAAATTAAACGAGGAAAGCTTATAAATTTACTATTCGACTAAATTTACTAAATGTAATTTATTATTAGTTTGATGATAGGAAATCTCTAAAAAAGAAAATATCTAATAATATTAAAAGAAAAAGAAATTAATACGGTATTATTTTAAATATTGGTATTATTCTAAATATTTGCAGCATTTTATGGAATTTATCTTGCTAAGGATCTTGTTTTACATTATTTTTGTTATAATAAATCAAAGTTTTCATTAATTGTCAATTTTATCATTGTGATTATTCAATCGAAAAAAGAAAGAGGAAACAATGACGCAAGAATTCCTATTTTAATCTTTAGAGTTTACGTAATTGAACGTTTACATCAGCAATAAGATAACATTATAAAAACTATATATTTCTTAATACGTTCATGAGTAACATTAAAGACAAAGAATAAAACTGAACAGAAGGGAAGAATCATATCTTAAAGTAATTCGTAAAATCGAAACGGAAGAAACCGAAGAAATTCGTTTAACTTAGGTCTATACCGTTTCATTTCGATTGAAGAGAATCGTTTAATAGGCTTTCAATCGTTTACTTTATAAGCAAGAGAGAAATTATAGATAATTTCCTTCCCGACATGTCGCTTATGATCCGCGATAGAGGAGACAGGATGGCGATAGTTACTGAGAGGAAAGGCAGAGGTATCCTTTTGGCACGCAAAGAAAAGTGATTGAAGAGATTGAAGGAGAATCGATTCGACATCCCAAGAATGAATAATCACGCAAATTCGCGCTACTGTACATCGTTGATCTTCATTTGTTTTCTCATCTTTCTAGCCGGGAAAGCACTGCTACAATCTCGTCGTGCTGCTGCAGCTAAGTCGAGGAAATGATACGAAACAGCGCGCTCTCGTTTGGTCTTCGGGGATCTTAAGGAGAACTGACGGCGGCATGGTCATTATCACTTCCTCTTAAAGCACGTGACAGCGTTGAAATAACAGCGCCAGAAAATCTCACCCTTGGCTTGTCCACGTCGTTGCAAGTCCATCTGAAAACGAGATGGATCGAGAAATGCGCATGCTAATTCAGAATAAGATTTATAAAATAATCGTATTAAAGTGATTAAAGTGTTGTAAGCGGTGATGGTGGTTTGTTTTTTTTTTTTTTTTAAATATAATAATTAATCTTAAAATTATTCCTTTTTCGATTCAATCTTGAGATACTTGAGAATTTTTGTATTATTATTTTTTTTTTTATTTATACTTCGTAGTATACGATAATTTTATTAGTTAGAAGTAACATTGTACAAAGTATGACTAGCATAGTGATTTCTTGCAAAGATTGTTAAGATTGTTAACTTTCGAACTACATTGCAATTTACGATCAAACATATATTATATTATATTGTAAAAGTAAAAATTTTTTATAACATAAAAAGAAAAATTTTATCGATTATTTGAATCTTATTATATTTTCTATTTTGTAAATTTTTTTATTTTATAATAGATAAGTAATACCCCTTTAGGTATAAGAACATATATTAAATTAAAAATGCACATAAGTATATATAGTTATACATATAATAAATATAGTTTGATCGCTTTACAATGTGGTACGAGATATCATCTTCAAATAGAATTATTTAAAAGTTAATACCGAATTCGCTACCGTTTGGTCATGCACCACAGGGACGATTTCCGAATTGGCACCTGGGAAATGATGAGACACCGATGATTTTCCTATACCTCTGCTTCCTACTGCACCTTTTTCCTGATTATCGACTACCTTCTGTAGAGCTACCAATAGTTGATCGAACAACAGAGCCGCTCGTTTTGGCACTACCTGTAATAAAGGATATAAAGATTAAAACAACATTTAAAAAATAACATTTTTATATCCTAACAAGTATACTTTGTGGATGTGAAAATCTTTTTTATTCATGCGTTTCGTTTTTCATCAATAATTTTACGTAAAAATAAAAATGACAATTATTTTCAAATATTCAAAGATAAATTTCATGTTTTATTTTATTTAAATTATCATCAAAATTATTTGAAAAACACAGACACGTATAAAAAATTATTTTAGAAATTGAAGAAATTGAGAAAATTTGAGGAAAATATAACATAAGAATTCTTTATTTTTAAATATTTGAAAATAATTGTCATTTATATATATATATATATATAATTTAATCGTCTATTGTTTTATTGCAAATACTCTTATATGATAATTTTATAAATAATATATATTGTAACTCAATCTTTTTAGAAGAAACAAATTCACTGTTCATTCCGCACATTTCTTGTGTACGTGCTATAATTCCTAACAAACATGCTAGTAATAGGTATCTTATGAAACAAAGGAAACAAAATGAGAACGACAGGTAATCGATAGACGATGGACTTATTTCTTCAATCTAATTGACAAATGTGTAAATGGATACGTGCGTAGATTACTAGTTGAGAAATTTAAATAACAATTGTAGCTTATAAAATGAAAAAAATAATCATTTGTTATTATTTTGTCAGTTAATAATATATTTAGATAATTAGATATAATTTGCAGTTTAGAAAATTAAATAAAAAATTAAAGTATATTAACATATTTTTTTAAACAATTTCATTTTACACTATTCAACTTTTTTATATCTTTATTTTTAAGATAAAAAGATAATTGGTATTGTACATATATA